GGGGGGGGGGGGGGGGGGGGGGGGGGGGGGGGGGGGGGGGGGGGGGATATGGTGAGGATGGCTCCAGTCCGTCATGGAGCCATGATGTCAGGCCAAAACATCACAAAGAAATAGTCAAACGCCACAATTCAGTTGTAAATAGTTCACAGAAGATGATTTTGGGAATAGCACATTTCTACGTAGTATATATTTCTACTTGCTTAGTATATATTTCTACTCAGTATATTGTACTCATGAGTACTTCTGCTCTGAACTCTGTTGAACTTGAACACCGTGTCTGTTGTGTGGAGACGAAGATAACTAACCGTGTTGTGTGAGGCCGTCCTGCCGCTCGTGTTTCATTGCTTCTATCAGTCTGAGACCAAAACGTCTGTAACATCGGCCCCACCGCTGCTCCTCCAGTCCAAAGACAGCTCGTTCCCGTTTCGCCTGGTTCTTCCTCACGGAGAATGAACGCATTCTGTTGTGATGATTGAACCTTCTCTGTGCACAGAATACTTAAAAGACAAACTCTGGTTCTCGGTGTTCTTTATCTCAGCATATAAAGACTCACGCAAAGCAAGTATGGATTTTTTTCCACCACGTTTTCTAACGTACGTGTGGGCGACATGTCGACAAGTGAAGCTTTTAAAGCGAGCTGCACTTTGATGGGAGGATTAACTGCAGATGTTGCTGTTGTTGTTGCTGCTGTTGTTGCTGCGTTCAGTGTCATCGTCCTCCTGCTCACAGTAGAGTGAGGAGAACTCATCGGATCATACTCGGTGACCTGTTTCATGAGATAAGTGAGGAGAAACAAAAACGTTTCAAAGTGTAACTTCATATTCTTGTTGTTGGTTGTCCGTCCGTCCGGTCCGTTCTCATGAAGGTGAAATCTGAGGAACACCTGGAAGGGAACGCTCTTTAGGTTTGAAACGAATGTGAAGTGATTCGGTTCTGGAGGTCAAAGTTCACTGTGACCTCATGTGGTAGTCATGTCAATTTTACTCAAACATCAAACGGGATAAAATAATGAAGCGATGACTTTCGACTGGTTTGTGGAGGCGGTAGTTCTAGTTTAGTGCAATATTAACTATGATTGATGGTAAAGATGGAATATATGCCGACAAAGCTGCTCACAGGTCAGATCTTTAACCCCGTGAGCAGTGATGGTCAAACCCAAGTGAAGCTCCTCTCTGGTGGATGACTGGAGGTGACGTAGTGAACGTGTGTGGAAGTCAGACTTGATGTGTTGAGCTGAGCGTGTTTGAACAGAAGTCACTCTACTGGTCCCTCCACCTCCAGACCTGGGAGCGGCTGAGAGGCCTGAAACGGTCTCAGCTGACTCACTGCTGGACTGAGCGTCTGCTTCATCTTTAAGTCACAGTGAGGAACTTTTAACTGGTCCTGAACCGGTCTCAGTGTAGTCCTGATCCTCTATCAGACCTCCATCAGTAAAGAGACCATCAGAGAGAAGATGGTCTGTTTCTATAGAGTTATTGTTAATGCTTTACATGACAGACATTTAGCAGACGCTTTCATCCAAAGTGACTTACAGTTCAGATTCTATCACATTCACACCGTAGGCACAGCTACGGGAGACATTTTTTGGGGTTTAGTGTCTTGCTCAAGGACACATCGACATGCGACTAGCGGAGCCGGAGCCGGGGATTGAACCGCCGATTGAATAATGGCCCTGCTCAGACCCAGACCTCCAGCAGACCTCCGGCAGAGACCGGTCCACCGTGGACAGACCCAGATCCTCCGGCAGAGACCGGTCCACCGTGGGCAGATCCATATCAGCTTCACCTGCAGCCTTGGACCTGCAGTCGGAGCTCCAGAGGGAGGAGGAGAGCTCAGCTCCCGGCAGCAGCAGCAGCTCCTCCTCCTCCTCCTCCAGGAGCAGAGCTTCTCCACGCTGCTGGAGACCCAGGACATATTGCTGGACCCGCTGGAGGGAAGGGAGGCACAGGAGAACCAGAACCAGGACTGAGAGGGTCAGACTGTCAGACCCTGCTGCAGTAGTTGTCACTAGATATCAAATACTCTTTTAACTCAGAAACATCTTGCAGCACCTCTTAATGTGTGTCACCATATTTTTAGAGTAGTCGACTTGTCAATCATCTGAAAAGAAAATTCCTAAATATTATGATAATTGAATAATCATTAAAGCAGAAAAGCTGAGTTCCTGTTTTATATCATAATAAAGTGAATATTTAGTTTTCTTATTGAATAAACGGACATTTAAAGACATTGACTCGGTCTCCTTTAGGACAAAGTCAACACGTCTACTCTCTGTTTGGCTCAAACTGGTCTCTAGTTGACTTGGTGGTTTTGTTCCAACACTTGATGTAATAATGTTTTTGCTTCGATGTGATGGTTTTGTTCAGCTTGTACGGTCGCTCACCCTGCAGGTCTGAGCATGCTCACACTGCTCCTCCGTCAGACCAGTCGAACCAGTAACCTGTGAGAAACGCTGTCAACGTTCACTGCTGTGTGTTTCTGCTGCAGAACGCCTTCTTATCTCTTACGTTTCATCAGGCCAGAGTAGTTCTCCACTTACTCGACGCTTCCTGTTTGTGAAGCGCTTTGTGTCCCCGTGTTGTCTCGGTGGAGGACTTCAGAGACCTGAAAGGGGAACATGTTAAAATCCCTGAAGGTCATCGTTAAATCCCATCGTGGGTGAAGGACGTGACGTGCAGTGAGATGACCCTTTACAGCTGCAGCATGAGGAAAGAGAACGTGTTATTAGTGCATCAACAATCTGCGTATTTTGTTTGTTTGAGTTCATTCACATTATGAGACTGAGTCTTTTGTCCCTCATGTTTACACAATCGATCGTCGTTCATCGAGACGGAGGAAGACGACATGAACTGTTAATAACAGAAACACAAGTACTGATGGTGGTCCAGCATCTCTAAGTCTGAGCTGTGTTTTCTTGAAGATGCTTTGGTAAAGAGCATCCTGATGAAGTAGAGAAGAAAGTCAAATATACAAAAATTCAATCATGTGAACAAACGGTCAACATTATCTAGGGATTGAAAGTACTTTTACTTAAGTACTTGAGGTACTTAAAGGAATATTTCCGTTTCTGCTACTTCTTTACTTCTGCTCCACAGACAGAAATATTGTACTTTTTAATGTACTGCATCTGTTTCATAACTTGAATTACTTTGCAGGTTCAGATCAATAATGTAAAATATATTCAACAAATAACTTAAGGTGTGTTTGTGTCGGTTGAGATCAGACTTTATTGATCACAGAGGGAAATTCAACAGACGTGTATATAAAGTCATTAAAATGAGCTAAACTTTAACACGTTCATGCTTATAATACAAAATGTAGTATTCTGCATTATTAGTGCTTTTAGTGCTTTTAGTTTTAGTACTTATTTTTTGATACTAATATTTTTATACTTTTAGTTACGCAAAATATAAGTCAAGTTTTGACTTCATGACTTTGACTTGTAGTATTGCTGCTTGCTCTACTTCTGAAATACTGAGAGATGAACACCGAGAAGTCAAAGCATTTACAACATTTACGTCTCATTTTCAATGTTAACCTTTTTACACAGTCACTGCACATGTTGATCAGTGTGAGCTGCTGACAAATAAAACCTTCATCCACAAAAAACACGTTTCTGTACATTCTCCAGTTCTATATCTTGAGTGACTCCTCTCTGGTCCTCCACTAAACATTCACACACACCGGTGTGTGACCTCTCTGCTGGAGGATCTGGGTCTGTCCACGGTGGACCGGTCTCTGCTGGAGGGTCTGAGTCTGTCCACGGTGGACCGGTCTCTGCTGGAGGGTCTGGGTCTGTCCACGGTGGACCGGTCTCTGCTGGAGGGTCTGGGTCTGTCCACGGTGGACCGGTCTCTGCTGGAGTCTGAGCTGAAGGAGGTTCTGGTGAACCTGCATGAGTTCTTCTGGTTTCACCAGAATCCGACCCGGTGGCTCCGATGACGAGCATCAAGAATAACTCTATAGAAACAGACCATCTTCTCTCTGATGGTCTCTTTACTGATGGAGGTCTGATAGAGGATCAGGACTACACTGAGACTGGTTCATATAGAGGATCAGGACTACGCTGAGACTGGTTCATATAGAGGATCAGGACTACACTGAGACTGGTTCAGACAGAGGATCAGGACTACACTGAGACTGGTTCAGACAGAGGATCAGGACTACACTGAGACTGGTTCAGATAGAGGATCAGGACTACACTGAGACTGGTTCAGAACCAGGTAAACGTTCCTCACTGTCACTTTAAGTCAAGTTCATTTGATTTATTTAGACCAAAACCACAAATTTGCCTGAAGCGCTCTACGATCTGTATCACTGCATACGACACCCTCTGTCTGTCCTCAGAGCCACGCTTCAGTTCCGGAAAAACCTTTTAACTTCATAACTTTTCATGTTATTTTGTACTTCTAACCACATCATTGACACCGTGTGTCTTTTGTTCTCTCCACAGTCCAACCATGGGGTCCTTCTCTCCTCGTCTTCCTCTCCTCCTCCTCTTCTCTTTCTTCACCCTGTCGGTCGAGGTAGTCGCAGCTTCAGAATTCAAGATCTGCGCCTACAATTTGGAGAGATTTGACTCTGCGAAAGCATCCAACTCCAGAGTGCTACACACTGTGAAACGGGTAACACACACACACACTCTGCTACTGTGATGATAATATTTCAGCTTACAAAAGGCAAACAGATATTGTTTATCGGTTTCAGGACCCAATGTGTTTTTATTTTGACTACATTACATTCATCCTGGAGAGGTGACTGTCGGGGGACGAGGAGGTCGTTATTGGAGATAAACTCTTTGAAGACGGTTCATTTAAAAAGACAAGAAGATACTTTTCTTACTGAAAAGTCAAACTAGATCCTGATGTTTTTTAACGGGATTCTAAGACAAATAAGTCTCTCCTGCTGTCCTGGAACACAACATCTAAAAACTAATGTTATGGAGTCGGTTTTCATTGAACCTAACTCAAAATAGAAACCAGTGGTCCAATGCATTAATCTGTCTGTCTGTCCGTCCCTCTTCCTGTCTCTCTGTGTGCAGATTGTGTCTCGCTGTGATATCTGTCTCCTGCAGAATGTGATGGATTCTGGAGCCATCACAACTTTGCTGGCTTCTCTCAACAGGTACAGAGAAAATGACCGAACCAGATCACACTCACTGCTTTTCCCTGTTTCTCTCTGGTACTGACAGTTGGTCTGTAGGTCTGTAGTATGTGGTCTGTAGTATGTGGTCTGCAAATCTTTAAATCTATTAATCTGTAGTTATGTAGTCTCTAACAAAATATGTTAATCCGTAGGTATGTAGTCTGTAATTCTGAAGGTCTAGAGGTCAGTAGTCTGTAGTCGGTCTGTAGCTTGCATGTCTGTAGTTCTATAGTCTGTAGGTATGTTGGTCTCGAGGTCTTTAGTCTGGAAGTTTGTAAATCTGGAGGTCTGTAGACTGGAGGCCTCTAGTCTGGAGGTCTGTAGACTGTGTAGACCTAATAGACGGTGTAAGAATTTATTTGACTTTGTTTCACAAAAGATGAAGTTGTTCTTGGTTGATGGTTCATATTCACAATGATTCATTTATTATGACTTTCACCTCATTAACACATGTTAGAGCCTCATTAATTAGACTGTTACCAACCAAGTCAGTTCCAGTAAACGGCAGTCTTTCAAAAACAACACAACATACAGAGTCCTTGTTCATTGCAGCGTTCAGAGAACAGATGAAAGTACTAAACACTTGTTTTATAAAATACTTCTTCATTCAACAACAAAAGTCTTTAAATGGGACTTTGCCAACAGCATCAAATGTAAATTCTCTCTCATGTTTGACTATTTGAATGCTGACAAAACGTCTCCTACTAAACGAAAAGACTTGTAAAAGGTACTCAGCCAGTAATACTGACACTGCTGTAACCGCACCATGTATATTAATACAATATGGTGATCATTGTGTGTCTGCTGTCTGCCTCCAACAGGGACACTGACAGGTACAGTGGATTCTATGAGCATGTATAACATCATCTAATCACTATTAATCATCTCGGTCTCCTTTATTGACCCTCTCTGCTAACCTTACTGCCTGTAACAATAGAGTGCTGCAGGGTTGACTTCTTTTTATTACGTTACGGACAAAAATAAGCTCTCTGGCAAATAAGCATTAATGCTACTTACACATTATCTTCTGCAAGATAATCTTCACAAGTTAACACCACTTTTATGATTGTTGAAGCTCGAGTAGAATCTCCAGAAGTAGAAAGCTAACGTTAGGCTAAAGACGAACTCGACGCACGGTCACATGACTTCAACGTTGAGACCAAGTGGTTGTCATTAACCAACTCATCACTTGCTCAGGACCCCTTGGCGTCATGTGGGGTAGCTCTATGCGTCACACTATGACGCTCCTCTATGGTTGCAGTTTTAAACAAGCTTAAGATTGTGAAATAACAATAAATATACTTGGTTATGAATTGGAAAATATGGTTTTCAAGAGAGCAACTATAAACACAACGAGGCTGTGAAGGCGGATTAGTGAGTAGATGAGTTTCTGTGTTCGGCGTTATGACGTTTAATGTCACTAACGACCTCTGTAGTCTCATTGAGCCACTTGGCGTCCACCTAGACATATGAACGCTGCAAAAGTCACCACTGGGGCATTTACTCACGTATTTTATATCGTAAAACAAAAACGTATATCTCTTAAGCTTTGTGAATGACGGACCTTATTTCAGTCGTCCAAACAAAAACGACATAAAAATAACAACCCAGTGACTTCGAGACGAGGCAAAAATGCTCATTTCAGGGTTTTCTGGCTCATCTCTGCAGCACTCTATAGGCAACACTTTATTCTGTGTAGGTGCTGTTACAGTAACTCTGCAACACTTCGGCTGACATCTGTCTCAACAGATAAGACTGGACGAGTCAACTGAGCAGATTTACCAAAATAAAGTGTTGCACCTAATTATGAAAGGGTTAAATTGGGATATATGTTTTCTATAATAATGCATTTAATTGTGCCATGATTGAGCCAACGGGTATTATACAAAACAGTTTACATACTATACACACAATTCAGTTCATATATTTGACTATTCAAGAAATATCAGTATAATATACATTAATACAGTTATCTGTACAATCTCATGTCATGTTGTGAACAAACAACATTTTGGTGTTTCCAAAGCTGGGAACAGACACGTAGATTTGAGTGTCGTCAGCGAAACAGTGAAAATGTTTGTCACATTTCTTGAGGCTGTTACCGGCTGCATGCACATATAGAAACGTAGTGGACCAAGTACGAAGCCTAGAGGGACACCACATCCAGGAACGGCAGACGCTGAACTAATATAATCAAGTAACGGATTAGATCAGAACTCACAAACCTATGCTGAATGCGTTTTGGTGAGGCTGATGAGATGTAAACCTGCACTGAGGTGGAGCAGAAAGACTTTTACTGAACAGACTTCTCTTACAGTTCACAGCAGGAATGGCGGGGAGATTAGAAAGTGTCCTACATTTGTTTGATGTTTGTGGATGAACAGTTTTGAAAAAAAGGTGTATTATAAGATGTTATAAATACTGTGCATATTGAGGATAATACTCGTATGTACTTTTACTGGACTATATAACCGAAAGTAATCTGAAATGATACTTAACACCCACACTTCCATTTGTTTCTATTTGTCTGTCAAGTACTAATTCTACTATATACCATACTCCTAATATCAAAAACATAATCATTTCTAAAGTACATTTAATGATGGTGGTACATGTACACCATTTTTTGGCTCCACCTTAGAAATGACCCAATTTAACCCCAATGACATGACTGGAACAAGGCTTGCTTTTCTCAGCAGGTAGCTGCTTTCTCTCTGGTGATGTCCAACATTGAACAATCTAATTCTGTCTCCATTTGATTTGTCGGGATATGATTTATTTGCTATCTCTGGTGGCTGGTTTCGGTCTGCTCGTAGATTTTAGCTAGTCGGCTACGCTAATGGAAACGTGGGATTTGCAAGTGCTCGTCTTACCGAACAAATGCATGTCCATTGTTGTCCCTGGGACCATTCTGAAGGTAAAGGCCATAGATCCACATGTGATAAAAAGCATGATTCCTACATAGACAGAGGTTGTTGTGCATGTGTGGATCCGTGGGAAATGTCTTGTCAAACACGCCATTGGGCTGCCCCAGTGGTGGAAGAAGTACTCCGATGAAACAATTGAGTCATTGTTTAGTAAAAAGTCTCCTGGGACTGATATCTGATTCTATGTGACATTATTAGATGGTTAATGCGGAAACATCTATGTTTCTGTTGTAGCTGCTCCAGGTGGAGCCAGTTAAAACCACTTTATATCCAGTCCGCTGGTTTAGTCCAGTTGGTCCCAACCGAGGGTTCGGGCCCCTCCAAAGTGTCACTAGATAAATGTGAGGCCCCGTGAGATGATTAATGCCAGAGACCATGTGAGAAGTTTATTGTGAGAAATGTTTCTTTGGAGGAACAGCCAACATCTGAAACAAGACAACTAGACACAAGAAAGTGTTCCTGATTATTACAGGCATTTCTTTGTAATTGGTCACAAGCCAAAACAGTCAGCAACTACTGGTTCATTTTTTTTAACAATATGTTGTATTTTGTAATCTTATCAATCCTTTACGCTCAAAGTAACTACCACCTGTCAGATGACTGTAGTGCAGTAAAAAGTACAAAAATACAAGATGTAGTTGCGTTCCACCTCGGGGCTGTCCAGCTCGGCTCCTTTAATGCTGAGCTGTTCACTAACTCATGCCGATGAAGAGCAGCTGGATGAAAGCTACGTTATCCCGGGTTGATGGTCCTGCTTTAAATATGAATCTGAGATCAGGATTTAGGTTTGGTCATATTTCAGGTGGGTGTTATCACACAAAAGTTCACACCTACACACAATATCTTTGTGGAAAATACATTTTACTTTTATTCGTTATGATTCATTTCAGTTTTGTTTTTTTTATTCTGTGAGTGTAACTCATTGAACTTTTAAACAAAAAAAGCCTGAAATAGAAGTGAAATAACATATAACCCCCCCCCCCCCAACCCCTGTGGGACTGTTTCCTGTTTTGAGCGCTGACTTCCTGCTTTACTTCAGCAATCAACTGTTTCTCTTTGTCCATGTGTTGTGTTGAGGTATGACGAGTACACCTACCAGTCGGTGTCCAGTGAGAGTCTGGGAAAGTCTCCCGACGACATGCAGCGTTACATTTTCATCTACAGGTAAGACACAGGGCCAGTCCTGCAGGAGAGACACACCTGTACACACCTGGATAGTCTCCCAGCCTGTGGGATGAATTACAATACTATAATGACAATCAATGAAAAGACATCACAAGAAAATCCTTCCAGTGTGTCTGGGAGTCAGATCAGAGTCAGATAAAATATGAAATAGATATTTATTTAGTGATGTTCTTAAAGTAAATGAATAAGTAACATTTTACCTGCAGTTCTCTTCTTCTGCTGCCGGTGAATCTGGTGAATATGATTTCTTCTTCTTCTTCTTCTTCTTCTTCTGTCAAAACAGGATGGAGAATGTGAACGTGACGGGACAGCATCAGTACCAAAAAGAAAATGCCTTCGTCAGACAGCCGTTCGCCGTTCAGTTCCAAAGCAAGAAAACCGGTGAGTCGACACAAAACAGAACTCGTTGTTTAGCGAGACAAACAGTAAGATTTGTGTACAGGAGGTCCAGGGGGTGGACACATCTACAGAAACGCCTCGTATAGGTCACGCATTCTAATGTATGATGTACACCAGAGTTAGTAGCCTTCTGCCACTGAGCTTGATTGCGTCCAGTCAGATGTGTGAGGACGACGTCCTATAGCGAAATGGTCTTTGATGCTTTTGTCCTGGAGAAAGCCTCTTTAACAAAAGATGTTATTTAGTTTCGTAGATGGAGAACAAAACACAGTTCAATGGTTAAAGAAACTGGAAGCTTAGATTTAAACAGGAACAACTTCCTGTTTCAGTCTCAAGAGTTTCACAATAAAAGCATCCTAGAACAAGCTGGAATTAACAGACCGTGCAAAAATAGAGTTCAATAACGAAACTAATTCAACAAGAAACAGTTTTCACCATCCGTCATGTAACACTGTGGGAAAGTTCATTCTTCTTCTTTTGGGGACAAAAACTATTTCACATTTGAACAAAAACTTTGGTGTCTGAATTATTCCATTTTTATCTGCTAGAATAGTTATTATTGTAAAAAGACAAACATCAATATAACAGGTGATTACAGACTTCAACAGTGGTGTACATGACTGACCTTTACCCTTCCTCTGTCTTTCCTTTCCTGTTCTTGTTTTCCTTCCCTTTCTTCCTTCTTCTTGTCCCGCAGCGATCAAGACATTTATTCTGGTTCCTCTGCACTCTGATCCCAGTCATGCCGTCCAGGAGATTGACCGGCTCTACGACGTCTTTGAAGAAGTCAGCAAGAAATGGAGCAACACGGTGAGGAAATGGGATCTGAAATGAAGATGTCGGATCTCAAACTGAATATGAACGAAAGTTTCATCTGCTTTCCATCAATGGTGGTGAGGGGGAGTCTCTGGTCATTTGTCTAACATTCATGGGCGAGCGCAGAAAACATAACATTAACTTTTCGTGATTGAGGGCTGCACGTTGGTGTAGTGGCTAGCACCGTCACCTCACAGCAGAGGGGCCTGGGTTCCATCCCCGTTCCCGGGCGATTCGGCTCGAAATTGCCCGTAGGTGTGAATGTGAGCGTCTGTCTCTATATGCGACCCTGAATAGGATAAGCGGTTTGGATAATGGAAAAAAAAAAAAAAAGACATCAATTGAATTCAATTTATTTTGTACTTTAACACGTGACATCCTCTGTCCCAGGACCCTCAAATCGGAACAGGAACAACTTAAAGCCATTGCCATGTCTTGGTTGTTGGATGTCCTTATCTCAGATTCTGGCTGTAGCCATCTTTTTGTCTTTGCAATCAGAAGGTACACAAGAGGGTGGAGCTAAGTACAACCGAATGCTGAATAAGACATAATTATTAGTGCTGGGCAACGATTAAAATATTTAATCGCGATTTAAATCTATCAATCGCTAGGATTTTTTGCGATTAATCTCATTGTTATGGCAAAGTTCAATAATGAATTCAAAAGTATTGTACTGCGCACTTTTATTTTAAAAGTACTGCTATATGAACAAAAGGGCAATAACATTTGGTTCACGAGATGCAGGTAGCATGTTTTATACTTAATGTGAATATAATTCATACTTTGTTGGCATCTTATTCTAAAAACCGGATGTTCGTCTGAAGAAACCGGATGTTGTCTCACGTTAATCTTTCCGCTAACTTTCAAAGTCCTTCGCTCGCTCCCGATCTGTGCCGTTTGAATGCGTTTACCGTGAATTTCAGCATATAGGTGCACTAACATGTAAGTGTCTGCTGAGTTGACCACGGAGATCTGAGTGTCTGCTGACTTTAGCGCAGCGATGTCCAGTAGTCTCCAGGGAGAGCAACAGCTGGTGCAGCTTCTCTCTTTATTTCTGCCCCCCGCCCCCGACCAGAAGGGGAAGTCTCCTTTTCTCTACGGCAACCCTGAAGGGACAGCATATCTCCAATACAAAATGATAAACATGAGACAGTCTGTTACAATAATAATAAATTAAAAATACTTACCTGTTTTTTTTTTGTTGCTTTTTTATTATTATTATTATTATTATTTTTTTTTATTTTTTTTTTTTTTTTTCATCTCAAAAGGCTCAATGACACACACACGTTCACACACACACACACACACACACACATAACTGACTATAGGATGTTTGCTGGCTTTTATCCCACTGTTCTTGTCATCCTCTTGTTGTTATGTATATGTAGTGTCTCTTGTCTTTCAATAAAAAAAAAAAAAAATTATAATAAATTTAAAAAATGCGTTAACGCGCGATAAAATAATTGCCGGCGTTAATTAATGAATGCGTTAATGCGAAATTAACGCGTTAACTTGCCCAGCACTAAAAATTATGACTTCTTACAATCTTACAATTAACTAAACGGTTGAAGCTGTAAGACAAAAGCTCGGACAACCCCCAGACCGGACAACACAATGGTAGAGACCTGTCAATCACTGTGTAGCCCCGCCCTAAAGCATCC